CACACATACACACACACACACACACACACACACACACACACACACGCATACAGACAGACACACACATACATACACACAGACACAGACACACACACACATACACACACACACATACAGACACACACATAGACACAGACACAGACACAGACACACACACACACACGAATGTTCATGTACTCAAGCACGTATCAATAGCTGGCTATTGATTTTAAAAGCTAGATTGTGCCACAGGTATTCTTAAACATACCTGTGGGTGCCACAGGTTGGGAGGGCGGCTGAAACTTCACCTGGGCAATCACTGCTCCAGCTCCCACACCTATCTTCCTCCGCCTGGATGGCACGCCTCGGAGAGGCCTGGCACCTACCACCCGTCATGGATGTGTGGTCCTGTACTAGAGACATGGCAGTCGTTCTGATCAGTATTCCCTAGGAGGCATAGGAAATGTACAGGGCTCACACATAGGAAGTGACTGAAGGATCCTCCTGAGAAACTTGCTTGGCAGGAGGCGGGGCAGTTAACTGAAACAAAGAGTTGTTTGGGATTTTACTATTCACCAAAGAATGAGAACATTGCCAAAATTTTGAATGGTTGAGTTTGAGGGCCCCTCCAAGGTCTAGCTCCCGCCTCCTCACCCCCCCATGCTGCTGCCTTAGAGAAGAAATAAGAGCCTGGAGATGTGAATGGTGCCCCCTCAGCCTGGCTCACAGAGCTGGGCTTGACACTGCTGCCTGCAATGCCTGGGGCAGTGCCTTGTTGTTTACTTGCTGCCACTAGACACTGGCAGTAGACGGCCTGTGTTTCAAGGAGCATGGAGTGATCCAGGACATTCAGAAAGGGAGTGATGGCTGGTGGCTCTGAAAATCCTAACGTACCACATTTAGATCTGAATAGACACACGATCTGGGGGGGGATGGAATCCATTTTTAATCCATTTACAAGCTACTTAGATGTCTGAATTTCAGTCGTCTTCATATTTAAAGTGGTGTATAAAAATGCTCAACTTTTACACTGGTACTTATTAGATGAGATAAAGCTTATGACGTGACTCAGCCGGCCTAAGAGTCTCTCTGCTCTTCACTAAGAGACTTAAAGCAAATTTATTACATATCTGTAACTTTACATGCTTTACCTGGAACATGGCTGCCTAGTAAGTAATGAACAGACACATGGATACCTGCAAAGGCATGGCTGGGGACTAGCTGTGGCTTCTGAGCGGTCCAGCACTACTTACCAAGGTCTTAGTTTTCACCCTGAGGACTCGGACCAAGGAAGATCAAGGAAGGTGATGATGAAGGCAGGCCTCCAGACAGTCTTGTCATTCAACTATCCTTTTTTTTCCCCTCCTAGGAACTTCAACTACAAAGAAGATGAGTGACCCATCAAAAAACAACCAGTGCTGCCCGCCAAGCCCTCCATGCTGCCCACCCAAGCCATGCTGCCCACCCAAACCATGCTGCCCGCAGAAGCCTTGCTGCCCCAAGTCTCCGTGCTGCCCGCCCAAATCCCCGTGCTGTCCGCCGAAACCGCCCTGTCCGTGTCCGCCGAAACCCCCGTGCTGCCCGCAGAAATGCTCGTGCTGCCCGAAGAAGTGCACGTGCTGCCCGCAACCTCCGCCTTGCTGCGCTCAGCCCACCTGCTGCTCTGCAGACAGTAAAGCCGAGTCGGATTCTGATGCCGCAGCTGGCCAAAATCAAGACAAGGGCTCTTCAGGGCAACAGTCCCCTCAAGGTGCTCAGAGTGCATCCTGGAACCAGAAGAAGCCCAACAAGTAGACTGTCTCTGACAACCATGCCCTTCTTCAAAGGGTGTGGGGTTTGCTACAAGTTAGGCTAAGGCTGTTTTAAAGACGCTGTTTTCACACTAACCAACAAGTCCACCCAATCATAAACGTACCTTTTCCATCCAACCGTAGGCTACTATTTGCAACTGGAAATGGAAGGTAGAAAAGGCTGGAAACATTTTGCCTAGTGATCCTGACATTTAGATAGCATAGCAATAAAAGAGCAGTAAAAAAGAACATTGTCTCCTTTCTTTCATTTATGTATGGAGCCATCTCACCACTATAGCCTAATAGTAAACTGGGCACATTATATATATATATATATATATATATATATATATATATATATATATATATATGGCACATTTTATATAATAAGGGCTGTAGAGACAGAAAACGCTTATCACAAGGTACAAGGCCTCCACTGAAAACAGGGCAAGACCAACTCTCTCTGGGTTTTGGTTGGTAGGTGGTTTTTTGCTACCTTGGCTTTGAACCCAGGGCCTTATGCAAGCTAAGCAAATTCTACCACCGAACTGTAGTTCTGGCTTGTCTTCCTTCTAAAGTGAAAGTGCTGTATCCTGGAGACCCCTCCAGTCCTAGGTAAAGGGATGGTGGCTCACTTCCAAACCCCAGTTCTCTGGAATGCTTACATAGAACATTTGGTTCTAGACCAAACAAACCCCCATCATGCCCTTGAGATGACTGCAGTGCCCTGTCATACTTTGGCAGCATCAAAGGTAGAGGACTCAGCAAAGTGCTGGCGGCAGCAGGTGAGGCCTCTGGTGTCACGCTGGCTCTGGGGCACCACAGTCGCTCCAGAACAAGCTGCTGTACATCTCCAGGCTGTCGTCATACTTCAAAAGGGTTTAAGGCATAAAAGGGACAATTCATTTAAAGTATGAAACAGAGTCTGACACAGACCTGGTTCTTCTCACACTTCTGAGGCCAGGTCCCTACTTCACTCCAAAAGCCACTGGAGTAAAGCAATTTGCTCTCAAACACATTTCCCTTCATCTAGGAGAGCAAGTAAGACACAAAATCATCTATAACATATTCGGCAAGGTCCATCTTCAATGCCTTTGGGGTACATACAACTTCCCTAAATCCTTCTCTCTGCATTTGCTTCCTCATGTTCCTCCTTTCCCAGCAGGTTTTGTTTTGTTTTTGTTTGTTTGTTTTTTTGTCGCTTTATGATTTAATTTTTCAAAAGTTTTTCATAAAATTAATGTTGAGAAAATTATTCCTTCAAACTATGTTTCCTCAACCCCCATAAGCATCTTATGTGAGGAAGCACAAACCACAATATATACTTTTGTACATATGATGTACACAAGTAAAATTCCTTGGGCCTTCAAAAATTAAGCACATTTATTGGTAACAGTGCACCCACAAGGGACAAAATGTCCCCCCATTTAGTTTGTGTAAACTGTGTAAACCTTCAAAACACAAAGTATGACAATACACTTCAGTAATTTCCAAAGTCGTCGACAGTGTTTGGGTCAGGTAGTTCTGAGAATACGATCTGGGTGGGTGAAATCTTAAGGACAGTCTATAAAGAAAATGTAAGTATACACAAGTAGCTTTGTTATGTTAAAAAACAGGCAAAGAAGGACATACAAATAAAAATGGAGGTTATCATGCTATGTGAAATAAGCCAGAGTCGGATGAACACAAGTTCTTATACACACACAGCATGAAAACTGTAGGTGAATATTTGAATTAGAGGAGACCAGTAGGAGGGGATAGAAGGGAAAAAATTGATGGGGTGAATATGAGTAAAATTATATACATTTAAGAATATTATTTTCTATACTAACTAAAAGTATTTTTGGTGCTCCAAGGTTCCCCTATTTCAGGGTCCAACAAAAAACCCTACATGTCCATGTTGTCCAGTTTGTTTACCATACTAGTGTGAGTACTGCTCCCATTCACAGTTTAGGATGCAAGGTAGCCTTTGCAGGAACGGAGACAGCAGGTTCCGGGGCTTGCCACCATGCTCAGGATGATAAGGATGGGAGAAGACCTTGGTAGAGCTAGCCACAGGATCTGGTGCTGTGGAGGAACAATAGAGGAAAGCCCTTCACTGCCTATCCTGGGAGATCAGGCTGCTGGGCAATGAGGATGAAGAGGCTGGCCACAGCTGGGAAAACTCCATTCCTCACTCCAGATATCAAGTGCCACACCCTGACACATAGAACATCCCAACTCACATCCAACACAGCCTCCCCTCCAGGCTGAAGCAATGTACATTCCTCCATACCCAGCTTCTGCCACTTCCCACAAGTGTTCCAATATTCAAGCATGCTATGGCATGTATCAAATGTTCATTTCCAAATAGTTATTCCTGATTAGAAAATTCATCAGCACATGTATATACCCTGGTTGATGGACATTTGGTTCCTTTCCAATGTTTGGCTGTTACAAAGCTCTTATGGACCTGGGCAAGCTCTGGGCAAGCTCTTATGGACACAGGGCTCATCTCTGTAGTGGAGGCTGAAAGCTCAAATGCATATTGTGTTGTACTTTGGGGGAAACTGCCCGACTGTTTCCAGTGTGGTTGGGTACTTTATATCTTATTAGCATTATTCTGATTGTTACACATCTTGATAATATCTCATACACTCAGATTTTTGAGTTTTTGACATGATCTGGCACGGATGTTGACTTTAATTTTCATTTTCTTCATGATAGACAACACAGAAAATCTTTCCTTTTTCTCATTTGTCTCCATCTTTGGTGAATTATATACAAATGTTTTACCCATTTTATGGCTTATCAATGAATTTGAATGTCCTTTATCAGTAAATAACTTGGATATGTTTTCCCAGGGTGCAACTTACCTTTTTCACCTTAATAAATTTGCCCCCAAATCAAGAAGTCTTTATTTTGAAAAGAGTTTGAATATAATTATCAAACATGGATAGACAATATCAGTCACAGAATACATGAGTTGTTAAATGAAAACTTCAGCGAAAGGCACAGAACACCTCCAGAGGTCTTCAGAACAGTACAGGCTGCTGTTATTGGCCTTGCTTCCCCACCATTACTACCCAGTAAAACACTATCCCTGAAGGTACAAGTATAGAGAATCAATCTCAAACAGATGAGGACATATTACCTTCTGCCTGGCTTCCATAGTACCCTAAGATGCTATGAAGGCTGCTGAGAGAGGAAGGATATCAGTGATCTTACCCAGAATTCAACACTGCATATGACAATACCTCTCTGCCTGGCAAGATGTGCAGTAGTGTCACATCTGTTATAAGGTAACTGACTGATCGGATTTGAAGTCTGCTCCATCGGAGGACATTTCATGCCTGCTACTATAATCCTATTCAGAAGTCCATGGCTAAGAAGGTCATAAGCCTGGGGGCAGAACCTCCTATTGTTATTTCGATAAGTGGTCATGCTGTCAAGTTGCTTTCTAAATATTATCTTTATACCCATAGATCTGGGCTGCTCTCAACCTTGGTCACAGAAGCTTCTTTTTTCCTTTTGTCACTAGGTAACAATACAAAGGCACATAATTGATGAACATACTGAAAATATGAGACTGATCATCCCTGAATGGATAATTTTTTTAACTACCTTCCCCTCCCAACCAAGGCTCATCTCCAAAGAGGAGGCAGAAAGAATGTAAGAGCTGTAGCAAGTGGAGGAGTGCAATGAAATGCTGTCTTTTAGGCATGGCATGACATGACTATCATCTCATCAACTCAGGAACTATGCTTACCTGTTCAACTACTTAACAAGATCAAGGCAACTAAAATTCTGGCATAGGGAAGGGAGATGTTCTTTAGGCCCTACCCCTTAATGAAGTGCTATTGATAGCTATTGATAATGAGGTGCAGATGATAGGTGCTGAGGGAGAAAGAATCAGTCTGAGAGTGTTCCCACTGGCGGGTTTCCTGTACTCCAGAGAATGGCCCTGTACCCATGCATATAATGGTGATACCAATTGAACTTAGAAGAAGGAGGAAGAAGAGGACGAGAGAGAGGGGGAGGAGGAGGACATGAAGTTGGGAGGGAGATACATTGAGCAGAATGGAAAGAGGAAAATGAGGGATGATTATGATTATATACCATTGTATACATGTATAAAGTTCTGAAGAATAAAGAAAAATGTAATTAAGACAGAGTTCTTAGTGTTGGTAAAGTCCAATTCATTGTTTTCTTTTATGACTCCTGTGATATATGTAAGGAAATTTTGTCTAATTTCAGAACACAAGGATTGTCTCCCTTGCTTTCTTCTGAAAGTTAATTTTTGTACGTGGTAAAAAGTATGGAGAGTGTTGGTAAGTAGGCTAACGTTGATATCCAGTCATTCCAGCACTATTTGTGAAAGACTATCCTTTACCAAATTGCTTTGACATCTTTACCCAAAACAGCTAGTCATTCTTATTAGAGTTTCTCGGTTGTATGATTTCCCTATAGTAATACTGTTTTACTTACTCTAATGTTACAGTTTTTAAAGTCATGGGAGGTAAACAAATGTGTCATTTTTCCGGCTTGTTATGACTACCCCAGATTCTTTGAATTTCTATATAAATATTAGAATAAACATGCCAGTTGTTATAAAAAAATACTGGTGGCTTTAGACTGACTGCTATAGCACATTCTGGTCTGTCAGTTATGGCTTCCTGGTTAAGTATGAACAGAGTTCAGAAAAACTAGAAGAAAGCAATGAGGGCCAGTTAGTCATTTAACTGTTTCTCTTTACAGCATTTTTGAATTGTGGCCTATCCTAATGCGCCCAGACTCTTTGTCTTTACTGTCTCTTGATTCCACTCCAGCTTGACTTTTCCCTCCCGTCTACCTTAGCCTGTGTATGAGCTACTTTTCTCATTGCTGTGAAAAAAATATCTGAAAAAAAAATAAGGAAGGAAGAAAGATTTTATTTTTGCTTACAGTTACAGGTTGCAGTCCATCATGATGAAGAAGTCACAGCTGCAGGAACATGCAACATCTGGTTATACTGTCTTATAGACAGGAATCAGTGAAAGACTGAGTGCTAAGGCTCAGCTCTGCAGTGAGTAGCCGTTCCAGCTTTGATCTGGAAGGACCACCCCCATTGAGGCTTCGGTAACTGTCACGCCTACAAGGCGGAGCCAAGAAAGGACCCTTGAAGACCCAGGATCCGGATAGGATGGCTCTCTTGGTTCCTGGACCCTGGACGCTGGAGGTAGACCGAGCAGTGTTCTCCAGAGAACACTGCGGGACTATGCTACACCTTTCTCAGACCCTGTTACCTATCCCTTCACTTGTAATTTACCCCACAAAATAAACCTCCCTTTTAACTACGTGCAGTTGCCTTAATGATTTCACCAATATCCAGCACCTGATTGGCCAGTAGCCAGGCAGGAAGTATAGGCAGGACAAGGAGAGAAGAGAATTCAGAGAAGTCGGAGGCTAAGGAGAGAGACGCTGCCAGCTGCCATGATGGGAAGCAACATGTTAAGATACTGGTAAGCCATGTGGCAACTTATAGATTAATAGAAATGGGTTAATTTAAGATATAAGAACAGCTAGCTAGAAGCCTGCCACGGCCATATAGTTTGTAAGCAATATAAGTCTCTGTGTGTTTACTTGGTTGGGTCTGAGCAGCTGCGGACTGGCGGGTGAGAGAGATTTGTCCTGACCTTGGGCCATCCAGGAAGACTCTAGCTAGCTCCCTTTACTCCTTTTCAATAAGCCCATAGAATGGTACCACCAGCATTTAAGGTGGGTCTTTATCCCTCAATTAACTCAATCTAGATATGTACAGCAGTTTTTATCCTAGGTTATTCTAGAGCCTGTCAAGTTGACAGTCAAGATTACCCATCACAGGTTGCCTTTATAAGATTGCCAACAGGTTCCATGTTCCCTAACACAATAGACATTCATTAAAATTCATTTTAAAAGATTTAGTAAGAGTATGTATATTTGATGGTACACAATGTGATCATTTAATCTTATGTGTACATTGTGAAATGATTGCCACATTCAAATTAACATCTGCATCACCACCCTTGCTGTACCTGAGATATTCAGCACTTACTCACAACTGGGCTTTGTGCTACTTGATCAACACCTTGTTTCTCCTACCCACTAGCCATAGAAATCATTGCTTGACCACCACTTCTATAAATTTGACTTTCTTAAGCTCCACATGTATCTATTTTTTTTTCACAATCTGCCCCATCCCTTTCAAGCAACGGTCCAACTTCTTTTAGGACATTCCATCTATCCATCCTCCTGCAGTGTTCCTTAACTCAGTGCCGGTTATCTTAGTTTCTCTCCATTTCCTTGACTGCCTTCACATCTCCTTGATAACTTACCAGTTGGAATATTCTTCCAGCCTCTTCCTTCTTCTGTTAATAGTCTTCTGTTGGTGATTTTGCTTTTGATGATGACTTAAAATATCATGCACATTCAGATGCTTTATAGTGTAGGTCTATATCAGAAATCTCTTTCTGAACTCAAGGTTTATACCTCTAAGTGTCATGTGATAACTGCCTGAGTGTCTAGTGGGCACCTCAAACTTGGCCTACTCCAGAAACTCACAACCGAGAGTCCCTTCACTCCATTAATGATGGTTCTATCCTATGGTCATGCAAGGCTAAAATGTTTGGATCATTGCCAGCTTCTCACTTACAACTCATCAATTCCTTCTGTTGTCAGACATCATCTGTAATTTGACTAAATTTTGTTTCTATTGATACCACCCTCTTTCTGAGATATTGATAAATTCATACTGTTGCCTCTTACAGCTCTAGCTGCTTCTATTCTTACTATGAAGATGCTTTCAAAATTAAGTCAGACAGTGTCACAGTTCCATTTTTTTCTGATTTTAGCCACTGGAAAGCCAAAGTTGTTTCACTATTTCCACTCACTATCCACCTCCACTCACTCCCTCAGCCTTGTCTTACTCACACATGCCCAGTCACATCAGCCTTCTTGCTGGTTCCAGAAGATCTTGCCTAACATTGTTTGCTTCGCTGTCTCCTCCTCCTCCTCCTTTTAACCTGGTGCTGACTTTCTTATCTTCAAGTTCTTGCTGTGACTATTCCATCTAAAGTCTCTCCCCACCTCCTAGACTTTATAAGCTTCACTTGCCACATTTTCCCACATAGGATGTTAACAACACGTAAAATGCTGTAAGTGCTTGGTCTATATTTATTTTGCTTATTGCTGACCTGCCATAAAGAAATGAAAATTTTCATTCACTAAAGATATTACCCTGTTTATTTTAATGCTAGACTATGAGGGCCTAGAACACAGGTACAAGAATGTTATCAATCAACAGCAGTTAATAAAATTCAGTCACTAGGCAGAAGTTGGAAAAGGAATTTCCAGGAGAGAGAACAGGATTATAAATATGCAGAAGTAAAGAAAGGCAAAACAGAGACCTAGAGCTTAGCCCAGGCTTTCCCTGACTCCCAGTGCCCCTCTTGAATCTCCGTGTCATCCTTTGTGAGCCAGGGGGTCATCCCCTTAGCATTCTCGGTATAGTAGGAGGTGGTTCAGGGGTGACTTGGCCTGAGGTTCCTGGTAGAAGTGCTAGGGTGGGGTGGGAGAAGAGAGAGTTTGGAGCAAAGCAAGCAAATACTTGTCTGAGAGAGGAAGCTTGATTCACTGCACCCCATGTAACCCCGACCTCTCTCCTCCTGACTGCTTCCCTCTACGCAAGCTTTCTAGTAAAACCTGAATGACAGGAAAACAACCTTTTAGCTGGTCCAGCACTTTCAATCTGCCTGCCAGGCAGCCAGTAATTCTGTCTTTTTCTGTCACAGCCCTGGGTGCTTCTCCAGGGGGAATCTATCACGTTAAACGACATCTCTGCTTCAGGAGCTGAAGCAGAGACCTGGGAGCAGAGATCCAAACTCGATCAATCCACTTGCTCCTGGTGAGATTGCTGGCGAGTGAGATCAGGTGCTGTGAAATCAGGGCTCCTCCTCTGTAATAGGAAATGGATTAAAAGAGATAGTAAATGAGAATGGATGGGATAAACAGTCTTGGAGGATTTATTTCCTATGAATGTCCGCTAGGGACACTTTCTCAGCCCTGGGTTTGTTTCATGTAGAACCATGTAGGGTCCAGAGTACTCCCTTGGAGTGGTATTGAGTTACAACCCTCTCTGTTACTAAGCCTGTCTCTTTATCAGGCCGGAAGTTCCTGAACCAGGCTTCTTGAGGGCAAGTGTTGTACCTCCCCTTCAGCCTGGGAAGATAAGCCAGGGCCCTCTGACATGCATGGGACCTAGGGACCTATGCTCAACCCCTTGGCCGCGTGACCTGGTTTGAGAAGTGTGTAAATGAGTGGGGGAGGAAGGTTGATAGGCAGGCTTGATTTGGTGCTCTGCATCAGAACGACTCATCTGGAGACCAAGAGTCTCGGATGGCTTCGTGACAAATCATCTACAAATACAGAGAACAAACAGATAGGGTCAGGAAAGGGCCAGACTGGGGCACGTTCACCAGAGACTCACCAGGCCCAAGGTGAGGCAAGGATGCAGCTCCTACTCCAGAAACAAGTATGATTTCTAGACCTCCTCCTTACCGCGTACACTCATACCTCTGACATGGGTCTGAGTGGCTTCTATAGCCACTCTCAGGAGTAATTTTGAGAGCAATTAACCAGTCAGGAGGCAGCTGGTGCAGGATCAGGTGCCCCCTGCACATACCCTAATTAGCAAGAAGGAAGTGATGATCTAGAACCAGGCCCCAGCCTAGTGCTGTTTTTGTCTGGCACTTGAAGACTCTTCTGGCCGAGGAGGCTGTGTGACTGGACTCTTCTCTGACCATCTTTTTCTTTCCACTGCTGAGCCCCTCACCCATCCTCTCCACTTCAGGCTATGACCACTCCCTGTCTGCTCTCTACTACACTGGACCCCTCCCACACCTGATCCCCTGTCTGTATACACACACCCTGAAACCTTAATCACTGTGGGTCTTGTCTGATCTACCATCCCCATTCCCTCATTCCCTCTAGTTGATACAGCCCTTTCTATTCTTCCCTTGCTAGGACTATGCATACACTCCTCATTCCATTGTCTGGATTCTTTTTCTATATCAAATCTTAATCCCAAATCACTGGTTCCCCTCTGCCCACATAGGTCCCAAGGTCCTCCACGTGTCATAGGAATACAAATCCGTTTTAATTTCTTTATTATCTCAATGGGAGCACACAAGGCTTCATTAGAGAAAGAAAGATGATGTGGTATTCTATGATGTACTAATTGCCACTTGGGACCCAGTAATAGGCATGTTAGATAAATCAGAAAATGAAAAGACAAAGACTTGGCTGCTCTGATACAGTTTGCCACTTTAGAACCTCATGATATTTTGTTGGCATTGTTTTGTTTGGTTTGGCTTCTCATTATTTGTGAGACCATCAAGAAGTTTATTATGTAGCCTGAGCCTGTCCTTGAACTCCTGGTCCTCTTGCCTCTACCTATAAATTGCTGGGATTATGAAAAAAGGCATGCTACACTATGACTGGCCAAAGCTTCATGATTTTCAAGAGAAAACATGAGGAAATAAACCCTGATGATCTTTTAAAATCCTGTTTCCTTAAAATTCTCTCCTTAGGCATGTAACACACTACATGAATATCAATCCACATGTGTAATGACTCCAGACAAGAAAGCAGCCAGTATCCTGTGCACCAAGCATGTGCTAAGAACACACATTGTCTCACCAAATCCTCACAGGAATTTACAGATGTGCTTGGATCCTCCTTTTACAAACATAAAGCTTCCAGAGAGTGGGGCGCCAGCCCAGGTTTTCTCTTGGTTGGACTAGGTTAATATACAGCACCAGAGCCATAAAGGAATGTAGCTCCCTATCCTCAGGACCAACAAGGGTCTTTCCAGGACCCAACATGCCAAGGGTGTTTGGGCTGAATAAGAGCCAGACAAACTAGTACTTTGTCCAGAAAACCCAGAATTTATCATGCTATTGATAAATGCTTGACTTAAGGGCTTGGAAGATGTCTCTGAGGCATATGGTGAAACCTGACATGCTGTTCAACTCCTATCGAGGAGCCTGATGGGGAAAAGATACCTCAGACCACAGCCAGGGTGTCTGGGTTCCAGTCCTAGCACAGACTCACTGTAGACCTTGGACAGCTCTTACGTCGTCCTCTTTTCAAACTTCATTCCCTATCTGTCCAGGAGAGGATGGACCTCCAACAGAGGAGATGCTGTAACACTCTAAACCATTCAAAGGAAAGTTTTAACAAATTAATTTATTCTTTGATAATCTCATATGTTCTGGTCATACTCATCCTTCCACCTTCTTTTATCCTCTTCTAACTTCTCCCTCATTCTCTAACCAAGTCTCCCCCCCCCCATTTCTTTCAGCTGGAAGGAAAATGGCGGCGAATCTCCTTTCCACTCAAAGCACCAGTCTCTCATTCCACCGAATCTCTTTTCTTCCACTACCAAAACACCTTTGAACAAATACCTTGTTCTTCTTGCTGCCATCAAGAGCAGAACTGGGAATGTCCCTCCATAGCAACTGGATTCAAACTTGATTCAAAAGAAAGGGCCAATACTAGAGGCCAAAAGTGAGGATGAGAAATTCACCAGGCCAATATGGGGCAGCTAGATGAAGGGATATATCGCAAAGCAGGTCAGTTCATGCAGGTGCACCCAAAAGTCCAGAAAGAAAGATTCATCCTTGGGTCCATTCAGGGTCTCATCTTTCAGACTCCTCTCCTGAGGACAAGAAGGGCACAAGTGTAAACAGGGTCAGATTCAGCAGGCAGTAGAGGTAGATAAGAAGACTCCATATATATAAGGAGGCAGGCAGGACAGGTTTCAGAAGGAGGGATGATATAGGAAACAGTACCTGAGGACCAGAGGAAAGGAGGTCAGCACCCTCAGAGATTCTCTACACTAGACAACAGTAGACAGATGCTGCATGGCCATGCAAATGGGAACATGAGATCCTTTGGCTCAAACCATCTCCCCAAGACCATCTGCCACCATCTTCACAAGACTAGCAATTCATGAAGAGCTATTCTCAACTGTCCTCCAGGGCAATAGATTTCCATGAATAATCCTTCTGGATCCCTTCCTACACCCCCCCATAAATAACCAACAATTAAAACAGGCTTCCCTAAAGGAGAGATAAATCAGACATTTTCTGCCTCTAGAGGGGAAATGGTCAGGTTCTAAAAGGGCTGAGAGAGATCTGGGTCAAACACTCTCCATGGGTCATGGGAAAGCTCACATTATACTGGGCAAGGCTAGACAGTTTCTTGGATTTATCACAAGGATCTGAGACTTACAAAGTATAACTTACAAAGTCAGTTATACAGTGTGCTGAAAGGATTTGCCTTACACACATGCATTCACAGTCCCTAAATGGAGCAAGGGTAGAATATGGGGCCTCTAAGCATTAGAAGCCTGGGGTGTCCTCAACACCTCCCGCAACTACACACATGCTTCTAGGCTCCATCCTCTGCCCTCCTTCCCACACCCTAGCTTTGCCTAGTGGTCAAACACTCATGCACACATACTGTCTTTTCAGAGTTCTTATTATGCTCTGAATCAGAGGGTGGGAGGCAGATCTGGCAGATACTGAGCCTCTGGGAACCCATAAGACCGGTGTGACTTCCTGAACAGTCTGCTGCCCTGGCACTGTCACGGGCTAAGGAGAGACAGATTCCTCCCATGTGAGGTCAGAAGTGGAGCATAAGTACACTAGTGGCCATGTGAGGGTGCTTGGCTAGTTCTGGTGGGGTCAGGGAGTGCTTCCTTTGCTGTAGAAAATAGCACAGTTCAGGCTCTACAGGGGAGCAGTGTGAGATCCTGTGTGGCTCTGGGAATAGGGCAGGCCTGGGCAAACATATTCTAGAGGACAGAAGGATCTTGTAAATCCTCTATCTGTTTAAAGACTGAGAGCCAGGGACACGGGGAATTTAGCATTGTAAACAGATATGCTTAAGACTAAGATAAGATGTTCATCAGGATAACCATGGGGAACTGGAATACCTCTCAAAATTAATCAGAAATACGGATTTATCTTTATATCATTTTACTATTTCTTATTTTATTAAGTCATAATAGGAGAGTGTTAATGAATGAACTCCATAAAATGAGCTATTAACTGAGTATTGAAGATAAAGATAAGCCACAATTCAGCCTTATCTTCCTGGCACACACACACACACACACACACACACACACACACACACACACACACACACACGGAGATGGATTAACATTTAAATTAGAAATTACTTATATCTAGGTGTGAGATTTGCTGTCATTCATTCCTTCAGTTAGTATTGATAGTGTCTTGAGGAGACTTTGACAGGTTCTTGGAACAGTGGAAAGCACACCAGATGTGCTTCTGTTCTTATATAACTTGCTTTTCAGTGGAAAAGGCAGATAATAATAAAGATTGAATAAGTGCAAATAAACTACCTAAATTTTTGTTAAGTTGATTAAAGCAGGAGACAATTCAATAGCTAGGGTAGTAAGAGGGGGGTCTTAGTCAGACCCCAACATTTTCATCAAAGCTCGAGTATATGTCAGAGCCCTGGAATGGGGCCTGTTGGCAGAGGGAGAGCGGGTGCCCAGGCATGAGGTGAAGGACTTTGGATGTGCCCTAGGGACTGAGGACCTGGAGTAAGACTGCAGCATACCTGTCAGAGAGAAGGTAGCATGTGTCAAAGTCTCAGAGAAAGACTGAAGTCAAGTGAGCCAGGGCCTTTTGATTATAGCAGTGAATCTGAATTTTATCAGATGTGGGCTGGGCCACCATGAGCACCGGGACAGGGGCATGCTTAAACACCCACTCTAAAATGTTTTCTAGTCTATTTTTAGAAAACGTTCTGAAGCCAGATGTGATGGCACATGGTTTTAATTCTAGAATTCAGGAGGCAGAGGCAGGTGTATCTCTGAGTTCAAGGCTAGCTTGGTCTACAGAGTAAATTCCAGGACAGCCAGGGCTACACAGAGAAACCCTGTCTAGAATTCGCCGCCCGCCCCCCCCTGGAAAAAAAAAAGAAAAAGAAAAAGAAAGAAAGACTATGTTCTGAGATGGCAATGGGTAATTTTAATTTGGTTGTGAGTTTGTATGGTGTGCATTCCAAAACTAATTACAGAAAGCACTGATTATCATCATGAGATGCAATGCATACACTGTATCTGGTTTCAATTAATTCCTGTTTCCTTGCCTGGAGTGAACCAGAAGCTTTTAGGAGTATGGCATCCTTAGGAACTTCTATAAATATGGCTTTGAGTATGATGTGGGGGCTGAAGCCCCTGGCACACAGAGGGAGGGGCAGTGGAAGCCCCCTACTCTATCTACTTTACCTTCCCCAAGACAAGGCATACGTCCTTACAGAAGGGAAATATGATGTATGCTGACACAGATGCTGAGTACAGATGGGCTCCTAGCCCAGGAGAATGCCCACCACATTCCCCATCAGAAGTGATTCCTTATCCTGTCCTTCCATAGATCTTGGCCTGGCTATCCCCAAAACACAAAGTTCCTCATTCCATGCCCTTGGAAATGAATCCTCCAAATCTAAAAATCAGGCCAAACCCATTGAGATGGAAAGGTAAGCTTGGCTGAGGTTACAAAGTAGGATACCCTTCTCACCCCCTTCTCCCCTCCTGTGCCCAGGTCAGGTGATCTCAACCAGGAGTGGCTGAGCCTTCACACTCCCATGATCAGGCAGGAGCTGGAAAAAAAGGAGCCCCAGGGGGGTTTGCCGCCTAAGATATCAGGTGAGTCAGAAAGGAGCTGGAGCAAATTGACCAACTGGTGTGGTGAAACCAGTCCACCACCTCCAACCTGGGAACTAGGCTAGGCAGGAATATAAAGGGCCCTGGTCTCTGCTCAGATCAACACTCCACTGGAAGCTTAGGCCTTCTCCCCTCTGTGAGTCTGGTAAGTGTTAGCTGCTGGGACCTTAGTCATGGCTGCAGACTCCCAGTAGACCAGGACATGGCTAGGGGCGTCTACTCCAGCTGGGGGTAGATATTGTTATGGGGCTAGATATTGTTATGAGGCTAGATATTGTTATGAGACTCAGCTAGACTACTTATCCTTCAAGGGGTGGGGTAGTATGCAGAGGAAAACACTCTGTAGTACTTTCTATGTGGAGAAACCCAGGCAGGACAGGGGCCTGAAAATCCCATTACAAGTACAAGACTTGTCGTAACAAGTTCTGATTCTTGCTAACACCCCAGCCACCCCTCACTCCTCACCCCTGGCCCTGGGGCTACAGCTTGCTTTCAGAAGATCAAGGCAAAAAGGAGCTCTCAGCCTGAACAGTCCAACTTGCTAATTTTTCAGAGAAAAAAAAAATCTGAAACCCAGAGAGACTAAGTGAGTTGCCCAGAAATCCACAGTGTTTTGGTGGGAGTCGGGTCTGGGACGTGCTGGATGACTCCAGTCCAAGGCTGTTGCAGTGGCTTTCCAGTGCCCCTCCACGGCACAGACACTCAGCTTTCTAGAGCTCTGGGGTCCTCTGTGAGATCTTTCTTTTTCAAAGGTTTCCTTCACATTGTGACATAATCCCAGAACTCATCTTCCCAGGACCCAGGAAAAGACTAGACAAAAGCAAGTTAATTAACAGCCAGCCCATTCTGGCAGAACCTCTTTGGAGAAAGAGCCCTCTGTTGAGCTCTTGGGGAGCTTTTCTGTGCCCTCACCATTCTCACCCTTCACTCTCTCTTGCTTTCGGGAATCACAGCTTTTGGAAGTTGGAAAATGCCCTAATCAGGAGTAAGGATGCCAAGAACCAGGGACACTATGTATATCCTGTATGTATATTCAGGGATTTATCTAATTCCTTTGCCTTCGGCCCAACCCCTGACTCTTCTGTTTTTCAGCTTGGCCTACAGAAGCTTCCGAGATGTCCCAGCAGCACACACTGCCAGTGACTGCCCCAGCTGCGGTTCAGGAATCTCTCAAGACTGTGTGTCCCCAAGCTCACACTCAGCAGGTACAAATGAAGCAGCCAACTTCACAATCTGAACAATGCCAGAAGGTGTTCTCTGAGACCGAAGAGAAGGGTTCCTCCAAACAAGAGGAGAAAGGCATGACCCCCGTGGAGGGGCTGCCTGATCAAGGGTGTGAGCAGCAGCAGCAGCAGCAGGAGCAGGAGCAGCAGGGACCACAAGAGCAGCAGCTATCTGTGAAAAAGCCACAGCAGGAGCTGCAGGAGCAGGAACTGCATCTGGAGAAGCAGCTGCCACCACAGGAGCCACAGGAGCTGCATCTGGGACAGCATCAGCAAGAGCCACAGGAGCAAGAATTGCATGTGGAACCACAGGGACAGGGGCTGTGCCTGGGACAGCAGCAGCAGCAAGGCACACTGAGACCCCAGGAACTAAGTCTGAGACAGCACCAGAAGGAGAAGCAGCAGGATCCAGAACTTCACCTGGGTCAGCAGCAGAAAACTGCTGATGATCAGGAACTGACTCCGGGAGAGAAGCAGCCCGAACCGCAGGAGCAGGAACCGCACCAGGGACAGAGGCACCAGGAGCCACGGGAGCAGGAGCTGCCCCTGGGACCGAAGCAGCAGCAACAGGAGCCACAAGAGCAGGAGCTGCAGCTGGGGCAGCACCAGCAGCAACAGGAGGCACAGGAGCTGCATCTGCGACAGCATCAGAAACAGAAGCTCTGTGAACCAGAACTTCACCTGGGAAAGCAGCGGGGTCAGGAGCCACCGGAGCCAGAAATGCACGTGGGGAAACAGCAGCACAAAGAGAACCAGGAGCCAGAATTGCACCTGGGAAAACAGCAGCATCAGGAGTCCCAGGAGTCTGAACTGAACCTGGGACAGGACCAGAAACAGAAGCACGAGCCAGAACTGCACCTAGGAAAGCAGCAGCAGCAGCAGGAGACAGAGCATGACGGATATCAAGGAACACAAAATCTAGGTCAGTCACTCAAGCAAGAGAAAGCCCCAAGGGAGCAGCAGCTGGACGACCCACAGCTAGAAAAGGAGAAGGAACTCTTGGACCAGAGACTAGATCAAGACCTAGTAAGGAAAGATGAGCAGCTCGAACGGAAGAATGAACAACCCCCAGAGCACCTGACAGAGCAGGAGAAGCAGACAGAGCAAGTCATAGCAAGCACTGGCCAAGTCCAAGAGACTCGGACAATCCTACCAGTGAAAGGAGACAACTTGCTCGCTACAGGGAAACAGAAGCAGAACCAGGAAGTGCAGTGATGCCCAAACCAGAGCAACCACCCCAGTGCCCAGAGACTCTCCAACCATCCCACATAAGGGAGGAGAACCATCCACCACACTTCTTTCAGGCCCCTGGCTGACCCACTCATCCATGAATCTGTCTGGCCCTGACCTTCTTCATACCTATGACAAACTGGGAAACAGGACGTTTATGGGCCAGCATCCACCCCAAGGAGCTCAATCCCTCCCTTAGATATCAGAGCCTCTCCCCATCCCAGAGGGGACTGTCATTAGTATAGCAACTTTGACTTCACTCCTAGTACTGTGCCTAGTACTGTAGCTGGATCTGTGAATATGCACAATAATATAGAATAAATTCTGAAAAGCTTGTGACCCTGTACTTACTTTAGCTGTTTCTTTTCTGTCTCGCATCACATTCAACAGCCTCTGAAAAAGCACGAAAACAAACTCAGTACACAACATTACTGAATAGAGACTTTTATTCAGTAAAAGTCTGGCTGGTGGGGGTGGTTTATCTATCTTAATTCAATAGCATCTTGTACTAGTCACACAGCCTCCACTCTTAGCCCAGCGCAGAGCACAGCTCTATGCTTCTCACTACAGCCTAACTCCTCATGAGAGGAGAGGAACTGGAAATACGCCTAGTATGTTTGGAGCCTCCACCTGGATCCTGGTAAATAGCACCAGACTCTCCTTCCTGGCTTTTCACCTAAAGATGGTCCTCATGCTTTCTGAGAGTTTCGTAGCATACCTTGAGAAGACTTTAGTAAAACGACAGAACATTGGACAAAGTAGGGAGAGTAGGCAGCCTCTGGATGAGTCTTAGAAGAGAAAACGACAGGGTCATTAAAGCAGGTAAGGACTGAACTAACAGTTAAGTGTGGAATGAAAAGTGCCAAGTAGGAGAGACAAAGACTGGTCAGAAGGCACCACAGCTGTGTTGTCCCGGTCCCGTCCCGTGTCGTGTGTGTGTGTGTGTGTGTGTGTGTGTGTGTGTGTGTGTCTCGTCCCCCCCCCCCCCACTACTGTACCCTGCCTCCGTGACACTTCTGAGGCGCTTGCTGCCAACATTCACGTGATGACCCCTGGCACTCCTCTCCCTGGAGCCTCTAACTCTCCTTCCTGGCCTCTAACACCTCAATTGCTTGCCTTTAGCCATTTAGTCATAGCACATTGGCAGGGTGTCTCAAGTTACATAAAGCTATTTTTACTACAGGCATGAGGGTATGCCAAAGACATCTTCTTTAAAGTGTCCACAGACATTCGAACTCAATCTCGGCTGAAGAGCATTCGGAAGCCTTTACAGCCCCACTCAGCCAGCCCCAATACTCACCTCTTTAGGAATCTTCTCTTCTGAGTAATAATAACAGGATTAAATCCTTCCTGTGTATATCAATATCCCCTAAGCTCAAGATGAGGACCCTTTTCATCTGAACAATTTCAAGAGCCAAGCTGCTCTTGCCTATTCTCTATCTCCAAGTAACTTGCAATCTGTCCATCGCAACATACTCTTAAAATTCCCACCGAACCAGATCAGTGCTTGTGTTAGCCCTTATCAGTGGTTCCCATCAGGTAGATCCTATCATGAGACATCAGGCAGGAGCCCTGCTAGCCATTAGCTTAAGTAAGACCAAAGTACCCATCATATGTACAGTGATGTTTGAAGTCTCAAGTGCAAAACCAACAAAGGAACACAAAAATCGCCAAGTGGCATTCCACTGTGACTCACAAACAGACAACCTCTCAACAAAGGAAAGCAAAAATAATGAGATAATTGAACCGCCAGAAAATACTTTAGAGTGTAGATCAATGTCCATATCAAGAACTCCATAAGCAGATGAATGAAGTAAGAAAATCAAATTGGGGACTAGACAATAAAGTTACAAAAATAATTCAGGACCTAGACAGAAAATTACTAAACAAAATAACAATGTGGAGGAAACAGTTAAAAGCATGGAAAGGAAATTTAGCAAGGAAACTGAGGTGCTTAAAAACAACCAAACAAATTTGGAAATGAAAGAATCAAGCGCTGGGAGGTGGTGTGTTTAGGAGGTCCCCTGGCAGTAGAACCTGGACCTGTCCTTGGTGCATGAGCTGGCTTTTTAGAACCTAGGGCCTATGCTGAGACACTTTGCTCAGCCTTGGTGCAGGGAGGAGGGGACTGGACCTGACTCAACTGAATCTACCAGGCTGGGCTGACTCCCCAGAGACCTTGCCTTGGAGGAGGTGGGAATGGGGGTGGGTTGGGGGGGAAGTCTGAGGGGTGGGAGGAGAGAGGACAGGAGAATTCGTGGCTGATATGTAAAATTAAATTAATTTTAAAATAAAAATATTTATAAAAAAAAAGAAAGAATCAAGCAAATAAAAACCACAAGAGGTATCATCTATAGACAAGACCAAGCAGAGTAATGAATTTCAGGGATGGAAGATAAGGTCAGGACAATAATGCATGTAGATACATATAAAGCAAAGAAGTTAGTGGATGTGAAAATAACTTCCAAGAACTCTGAAATATTTTTCAAAGGCCAAACGAGAATCTACAGGGTAGAAGAAGGAGCTAAAATGAAGTCTCAAGGCTCTGGCAATTTATTCAATGGGATTATAGGCACAAATTTGTCAAAACTAGAGAAAGAAATGTTTATCTAAATGAAAGAGGCATGTAGAACCCCAAATAGATATTATTAGAGAAAAATTTCTCCATAACATATCCTAGTCAGGATGTCGAAAATAGAAAGAAACAATGATGAGAGCTGTAGACCAACTCACATACAAGGGCAGAAATATCAGAACGATTCCAGGTCTTTTATTATCAAGCCTAAAAGTCAGGAAAGCATGGAATGAGATGATTCAAATATTGAAAGTAAATAACTGTCAACCAAGATTGCTATCTTCAGAATTATTATCTCAATATTGAAAGTGAAATAAGAATATTTCAACACAATCACAAGACGATTCAAGAAAGCATAGTCAGAATTGAAGAAAATTCTTAATTTGCGAGAAAAAAAAAGAAAGACAGTTTTATTCAGGAGAATGCAGAAAAGTATATATTTCATGAAAGGAACAGATGAACAGAAGAGAGAACCTGGAGAAAACAACCACACACAACACAGAAAGCCTTCAAACTCCTAACACCAACAGAGGGGAAGTGAATTAACAATAATCTCCTCTGCCAGAAGCACAACCAACAAAAACACAGGAAACAGCAAGTCCCCCCTAACCATAATCATACAGGAAGATCAAGAAGACTCAGACCAACCAACAAGAAGCAAACAATAAGATCTAACTGTTGTCTCCAAGAAACCTACAGAGATATAAAGATGGCACAGCAGCAATCATGTCTCATAAAAGATATTTCAAACCAAAATTCATCAGAAAAATAAATATGAGCATTACATATTAATAAATAGAACAATTTATCAAAATGGAAATTTAACTACTGCAAATATTTATGCCCCAAATCTTGAAGCTCTCAATTCCATAAAATGAAATCTGAAGAGCATAAAAGGCCATTTAAGTCCTGTCACAATAATAATGGGAGACTTAAATATCCTTATTAACCTTTAGATGGATCTTCCAAATTAAAAAACCAACCAAGAAATCTTAGAGGTAAATAATACCATAGATCAATGGATCAAGCAGAAATGTAAAGAATCCAACCAACAGACAAGTAAAACATTCTTCCCAGCAGCACATGTAAACATTCTCCAAAATTAATCATATTACATGCTGCAAATCCAGCTATAAGGATACCAAATGTTAAGCCGGTCCTTGTACCTCATATCACAGCAAATTAAAACTAGAGTTCAATCGCAAAAGAAGCCACAGAAACAACACAAATATTTGAAGACTGAACAATACATTTTTGAATAAAGAGTGGGTCACTGAGGAAGTAAGAATTCCAGGAAGAAGAATGAATGCAAATAATAGTACTATCTGACAGGATCTCTGGGATACAGGCAAGGCATACGTAGGAGGAAAGTGGAGAGGTTTTAAGCAAATAATCTAATAATGAGCCTCAAGATTCTAGAAAAGCAAGAAGTCAAACCTAAATGCAGTACCAAGAAATAAAATGCAAAGCAGAAATTAATGAGAGACTAAAGGGACAATCCCTAAATATCAATCAAAAGTCAGTTCTTTGAAAAAGTTGATAAAATTGAAAACACATGTACAAGAAACATTATATGAACAGAACAGGTTATATTTAAGAATATACATGTATATAGACATGTGCATGCAATAACCATGAAAGAACAGGCCCTGAACCTGAAGAAGAGCAGGAACAGGTATATAAAAGGACTGGAGGGAGGGGGAAGGGAAAAATGCTGTAATTATATTATAATCTCCAAAATAATAATAATATTGACAAAACCTGTAGTCAAACTAACAAAGAAAAAAATTACTCAACTTAATAAAATGACATGAAAAGGGAGTTGCTACCAGAAAATCTAATGAAAATCAGAATAAATAGATAATACTTTAAAAACTTAGAATCTCCCAAATGAGAAAAAAACATGGATAAGCTTCTAATTTAAACACACCCACAACAAGCAATGAATTGAGGTAAAAATTAAAAGTCTCCCTTCAAAGAAAAGCCCAGAACTAAATGAACTCACTGTTGTCATTTGGGTTTTGATCTTGGCCATTCTGACTTGGGTAAGATGAAATCTCAAAGTAGTTTTAATTCACATATCTTTAGTGGATAAAAATGTTGAACATTTACAAAAATGTTTCTCAGACACTCAGATTTCATCTTTTGAGAATTCACTGTTCAGATCTCTGACCCATTATTTAATCGAGTTGTTTTCTTGATTTTTTGGTTTTAATTGCTTTGTTGTTTTTGTTTTTGTTTTAGTTCTTGATATATTTTGGATATTAAACCTGTGTCAGATGTATAGATGGTAAAAGATTTTTTTCCTATTTTTCAGGCTTCATCATTTAAACAACAGTGCCTATTTGTTGCACATAAGCCTTTTATTTTCCTGGGGTCTCATTTGTCAATTGTTGTTTTACTACCTGAGCTACCGGAGTCCTAGTCACAAAGTGCTTTCCCGTGTCCTTAAGTTGAAGAATATTCCTGATTTTCTTCCCTATCAGATTCGGGGTATCAGGTCTTATGTCTATGCCCTTCACCTGTTGGAGCTGAGTTTTGTGTCCAGTAGGAAATAGAGATTCAAGCCAGGCACTGGTGGCACACACCTTTAATCCCAGCACTCGGGAGGCAGAGCCGGGTGGATCTCTGTGAGTTCAAGGCCAGCCTGGGCTACCAAGTGAGTTCCAGGAAAGGCGCAAAGCTACACAGAGAAACCCTGTCTCGAAAAACAAAAAAAAAAAAAACAAAAAACAACAACAAAAAAATCAACTCTAAATGTATCAAAACCTATAATTTAAAATCTGAAAGTTTCTCCTGCACTGAGGGACTGCAACTTTCCTAGCTTGGAACCTATACTCCACATGCAGTGTTGTGACACAGGGGCCTCTAGCTAGTTCATTCAAGTTGATCCACAGATAGACCAAATCCCACTGTTCCTGATGGAGGAGTCATGGGGATCTACCCTGGCTTCGGAGAGAAGATGGTAAGAACAGAAAATGCTCTGTAGGTAACCTCCTGGTTCATGGTGAACAACATACTAGCTGTAAACCTGTGATCATCTTGGGCTTTAGTACCTATTTAATTCTGGAACACTTACATAAGGCCAACTAACTTGTATCAGAACTGGAGCCAGGGTGCCACCTAGAGTTAAAATACTGGCAATGACAGAGAACAACCAATGTGTTGTGGAAGAGGTATGTTCTGCTGTCATTTAGTGACATCTTTTCAGATGTTATGACCATTTGATCCAGCAGTTATCAACCTGTGGATCATAACGCCCACATGGATTGCATATCCGATATCCTGCATATCATATATTTACATTAAAAATCATAACAATAGCAAGATTACAGTTATGAAGTAGCTACAAAATAATTTTATGCTTTGGGATCACCACAATATGAGGAACTGTATTAAAGGGTGACAGCATTAGGAAGGTGGAGAACCACTGCTCTAGGATGTAAATGAATTCTGTTGAACACTGCTGTTTTTCTTCATGGGTCATGTGTATACTGGTGAAAGTGAACTGTTGAAGTCTTTTATCAGTGCTGCATTGAAGCTATTCTCTTCATTGAGTCTAGGAACTAACACATTTTGTAGTTTCATGCTTTGGTCTGAGGTATGCATTTGGAATTCCTGTTTCCTCTTGCTGAATTGGCCCTCTTATCCTTACATGATGACTTTGTCCTTTTCCCTGCTTTAATTTAAAGTCTTTTTTAATTAGACATAAGCATGAATACTCCTACTTGATTTTGGTTCCATTTGCTTGAAATATGTTATTCAAATCCCTTGAATGTCAGTCTATATGTGACTGGAGAGAGGTGAGTTTCTTGTGTGCGGCATATGATTTGGTCTTTTTGGTTTTTACCAATTCACTCACTCTGTTATTTTAATTAGTACTCTTAATGCATGTGTGATCAGGGTGCTCATCTATAGGCAAGGTCTTATTAGACGCATTTTGCAGTTTGACTTTGCCATTTTGTTGTGATTCTTTTCTCTCCTGTTCCTCTTTTTCATCTTCTCAGGAGGGCACATGATGTGTTTTGCTTTTGATTCCTTGCTAGGATTTTCAGTTTGTCAATCACAGATTTTTGCTTTATGTATCATGTGATGAATGCAGAGACATCTTTTGATTATGACAAGTTATTTTGAACAACGACATACAATAAGAAATAAAACTTAAAAACCAGATGGAGCTGTGAAGAAAGGGAGAACATGTACCAGTGAGTCGCTGCCCCTGCCCTCCGTTTGCCAGGTGTGCCCAATGTCTGGTGCCCGGGTTGTCTTTGAATGCTGTCACATTTATTTACCCTGTGCTCCAATTGTTTTCTGCTTTAGTTTTCATACCAACCCTAAGAATGGTTTTACAATGCTGAGGCACTACAAGTCTGCTTCTGTAGTTATTCTTACCAACGGATTTCAAACCTGTGTTTTCTTCTGACTCATGAACATCTCTTTCCATTCAAAGAACTGCCTTTAGCATTCCTTGAAAAGCAGGTTTGCTGGTGGTGCATTCTTTCACCCTGTGTGCACCCAGAAATGCCTTTATCTCACCTTCATTTCTAGGTGAAGTGTTTACCTCAGCCATCTTCCTCCCTCAGTACTGCACAGATGTCATGTCACCCTCTTCAGCCTGTGAGCTCTCTGCTGGTGGGCAAGTTTGGGAACTCTGTGAGGTTGTTTGCTTCTTCCGTTGCCTCGAGAATCTTTGTCTTTAATAGAGGAAAGCTTGTGTCAAGTTCTGCAGTACTGTGAACCGAGGCCGCCTTTTACTTGGATATCTATCCTGTTTATGTTGGGGGAGTTTCCTCTTCTGTCTTGAAGTAAGATTTGTACTCCTTTGACTTCCTCAGATTCCCCTTGAACTTCGAGGGTATGAACTTCGAGGGTATTTACTCTTTTGGTGTTGTTCCAAAATTTGCATAATCTCTCATCCTTCCTCTCCTATAAAAAATAATTTCCTAAACCTTTCCTTCAAACTCACCAGTCAACTTTTTTGTGCACTATATTTTGCTCTTAATGTTTTTGTTATTATGTTTCATTCTGTGTATTGTATTTTTCAGCTTAAGAGTTTTTGTTTTTTCTTTAACTTTCACATTTCTCTGCAAAGTTCCTGGAAGATTGCTCCATTGTTACTTTGTGTTCTCTGTGGGGCGTTTACCCACCAACCCCACAGCTTCCCAGAGTTTTCTTGAGTGTAAGCAGCAGGAAATATTAGATAGAAGGATTTATTGCGGAGAATCTTGCGGAGATAAACAGATAGAAAATAAAGGATAGCCTCAAGAGGGCCTGGAACCTTTTCCAACGGCCCGACTGTCTCTGCCCCAGGGTTTTTATAGAGATGCCAAGGAGTGGAGCAAAAGACCTCCTCCCCCAGCACAGCCAAGTGCAGACCATCTCAGACACCTGCACTCAGGCCCGTGGTCTTAATCATCCTCCATGTGGACCTGCTGGGTAAAGCCATGAGGAACCCAAGAACAACCTTCCACAGTTCTCTTAAATTTTTTTTTAACTTTTTTTGAAAGAGTTGTTTTATATCCCCTTTCAGAGAGTTTGTGTACACTGGTTAGCATCTGCTCCATTCTGGTGACTGATGTTCACAATTATGTGAAGTCACAGTTCCCTGAGGGTTCTGGATCCTTGATGGCATGCTGCATGACATGCAGTGAAGTAGTATTTATCCCAGTCTTCAACTCTGGCTTGGTTTATTCTAAGCATGCTCTCTCTGTTCTTTGAGATTGGAGTCACTTGATTGCTTCAGTACTAGATGCCATCTATTCTGCTTTATTTTGTTGTCATAGTGTCAGCTCTAGATGGAAATCCAGGTCCAGGGCAGTCTCCAATTGCAGTTGATGTTTTGTTCAACTTCAACATGGGGGTCTATGTACCCTCTATCTCTGTCTCTTCAAACCTCTCCTCTGATGCCATTGGAGAACTTGGTGCCTTGTTTATCAACACTAACTTGTGACTAGGAACCATGGGATTCCAGCCAGTCCTGGGTATACTCACCATGTGTCACCAGCTCCAGGTTCCTGTTTTATACTTGTAGCCATCAATGCCACAATACTCTGCCATATCTGTGCCAACAGCCTATGGAGATTTAAAAAAAAAAAAAAACACTGAGTAAGACTAAAGTCCACATTGTTATATTCTTCTTATGTCTTAGGTGGATCTGTGGCCCATTTCATTTAATCCTAAAAGATATACAAAATATACTATGTAGTGGGAAATTTTGGCTGCTTTTTACTATCATTCAAAGCGAACTTTGTAATTTTGAAAGGCCTGGAAAGATGTCTACAATAGTCAACTTTTGGCTTATATGCTTTGGAGAATTCACAAGCAAATCAAAATGAAAGTATATTTTAAGCAATAATCTACCAATGAGTGGAGCGTCACACTGGTAAGGACAGAAAATCAACCAAGATGGTTAATCAATATTCCACAGTTTTCTTTGTATTTTTTCCCTACCCACTAGTGCTATGATGTAGCAAGACTGATATAGAATAGCTCTACTTTAAAAGCTTCCCCAGAAAGAAGGGGGGAGGCTTAAGTAAGTAGGTTTTGTGTGGCAAGTCTCTAAATATACAGTGATACATATGTCTCTTAAGGATTCAGAGTGAGTAGAAACATATGATAAATGTACAGATGTGTCTACAAACAATCATTGTTGCTGTTATTGAGAATTGACCACAGGTTAGTCAGTGTCAAATGTGTACACATATCTCATCTTCCCAACATAACAGCACCTGAGGTGTAGACAGGGCAAGTTGATTGCTCAAAGTCACCCTGTTAGTCACTGTGATTTAAACTCAGCTGTGTGTGAGTCTAGACACCATGACCATAGTGACTGCTTTGTGATCCACAGAGAGTGTCTATGGATTTCTAAATGGTCTTCTTCAGAGAGATGGCATAAAAGTGAGACTTGGAAGAATAGGAATCAGTGGACAGAGAAAGGTCTTAAAGAGAACCACTTAAATGAGATGTGAGAAACTCTGTGGATGGATGGAATAGGTAAAATATGGAAAACTGGGAGAGAGAGAGACAGAGACAGAGAGAGAGTTAAAAGACCTGAGTGTCATTATGGAGCCACTGTGTTTTTCTCTAAGGTTCAGTTGCAGTGATGGAGGAGATGATCATGAGATAAGAGGTATGTTTTACTACTAGTATGGAAAGACTGACACTTCCAGCCCTGAGTGAACTCTTACAAGATAGCAAAAAAGCCCTGAAACATACAGGAACTCTAAGGGGAACTGAGGGGGTGGGAAGATGAGAAGTTGAGAAGTTCAGTGGGGCAAGTCTGAGGCAGGGGATCTTTCAGTGAGATGCAGATTAGGAGTAGATTCCTGCAGCAGGAGGCCATTTGTCTGTCTACAGTAATCCCCTCCTCTGTATCTCACATTGGGGTACATAGTCTGACAAGACTGAATGTGCTCAGACAGAAAAAAAAAATTTGAACATGAAAATTTAAGCCACTTTTTTAGAAGAAGTAAGTAAACCACTGCTACATTACTGTACATTGAGTTGTTTGCTTGTTTTTTCTTGGACAGTTTTCCCTTATTCACCTGATCAATATCCAAGGAGAAGACTGGAATCCTAGCTCTTGCCTGTTCTACCCAGTGTCTAAAGGTAATCAGAACCACCTTTCACAAGCAAAGCCTAGATTCCATCAAAAATGACTCAGATGTCCCATATCCCCACACCCTGTTTTACTAGTCTCTTCCTGGCTCTCTGATCATGCCTGCTAGTCACCAAGCACTCTGCAATCACACTATGCCAAGGGAGCACAGCCAGGCCAGCCTTTCAGTCGTAGACCTATTCATGATACCTTCCCCTCAGTCAGTCCCAGCTCTCATACCTCAGAGTGGCCTACCTCTACCCTAGTTAAACACTGCCACACTGTGGCTTCTCCGTAGCCAAAATTAATTGCCTGTAATTACTACTTGCTTGTTTTTTAATTGTATCTGTGCATGCCATCTATCTCTCCATACCTGAGCATAAGCTCTACAGATCCTACCTGTGTCCTCTGTGCCTAGAAAGTGGTCGGTGTCCTGGCGTTCTGTTTGTCTATTTTGTCCTTTTGATGCTTGTGGTTTTGGTGTCATATAAAAAAAAAATGTTGCCAAGTTGAATGTCATGAAATGTCCCCCTACATTTTCTTTCTGTGGCTTTCCACTCCCAGGCTTATACTTTAATCTCTCATCCATTTTCAGTTGATGTTTGTGTAGAATATGAGATAAAGATCCAATTTCGTTCTCTTGCATGTGGATATCCAGTTTTCCCAAAATCATCCTTTTTCCATTTTGTCTTTTTGAAATCATTGTTGAAAATCAGTTGATTGTGCACACATGTGCGTGTGCGTGCGTGCGTGCGTGCGTGCGTGCGTGTGCGTGTGTGTGTGTGTGTGTGTGTGTGTGTCTGTGCATGTTTATTTGGAGGCATTCCACATGTTCCAATGGCCTACATGGCTGTTTTATGCCAATACCACATTTTTTATTGCTCTGGTTCGTAATACATTTTGAACCAGGAAGTACGATGTATCCACATTTGCTCTTCACCAAGATTGTGCTAATTATTTGATGTCTTGTAATTTCATATAAATTTTAGTATTTTTAAATCTTCCTATAAAAATGCAATTGGGATTTTGATGGGGTTCACAGTAAATCTGTAGATGACATTTGATATTGTGGTGATTTTACACAATGTTGAATGTTACAGGCCATGAATATAAATTTCTTTCTGTTTATTTATATCTTATTTAATGGATTTCAATGAAATAAAAATTTCTGCACAAAAAAGGAAATGACTGAAAAAAGAAAAACTACAAAGTAGGAAAAATGTTTACAAACAATACCTGTGATAAAGAGCTGATATCCAAAATAATATAACAAACTCCCGCAAATAAATAGCAATCAAGACAGTAATAATCTATTTTAAAATTGGAGCTGGGAAGAGGGTGGGGTTGGAAATGATAGTTTACAACCAACTGTAACTCTAGTACCAGGGGGCCAGATGTCCTCTTCGTCCTCTTCTGGCTTCTGCAGGCACCAGGCACACATGCGGTGCAGGCATGCACATGTGCTGGGGCTGGAACACAGCCCCCTGTTGGGATCCATGTGTCCAAGCATATGAACGCTTGTCCAATGGGTCTTAATGAGGCAAGGCCTGTGTAGACCGTCTCTCACTTGGCAAAGACCAGTGCCCCTCAAGACAGTGCATAATTCTGCTGGAATCATGCAGCCCGCATTCTCTATTCTCTCTCATAAGGTTGACGACTCTCTTGGCAGTTTGTAGTTTTACTTTGTCAATCATGCATGGAACAGGTGTGATCATTCCGGGGAACCCCATTTATTCCCTCAATATCTTCCCCCTTAAGTCCTTTGGTACCTGATGCCTCTCAGGTGTCTTATCTGGAAATACTAGCTGTCACCCCAGACCCTAGAAACTTTTCTGAATCAGTGCTGACATGATTGGAGGCAATACAAGTTAGTGGGCACATATAAGGAAGCAACAGAGGGGGCTGTTGTGGAATGTTAATTTAAGATGTGTTACATTCGTTTGTGCTGTGGAATATTTGCTGGACGATGCAAAGATGTGTTACATTTGCTTGATTAAATATAATTCCCCTGGGGCCAGGAGGCTGAGTCAGCAACTAGCTGCCAGGAAGTGGTAAGGAAGAACCATGTGCAGCTAGGGTTCTTAAGTGGGGGCTGAGCAGAAGGACATGCTATTTGGGGGGAGTCATGAGCTAGGAGAGAAGGTTAGCTACTTGCTATTCAGCCTCTCTGAGCGAGCAGAATTTCACCTCAGCCATTGAATCCTGAGTTCTATAGAAGGATAGAGATCTAGATAAAGTTCCCTTTAGCAGCCATGATAGAGCCAGTGCCTGAGGGAACAGAATTCCTGCCTGGCTATGGCCAGTGCGGCTAAACTGCTCCTGGTAGATGCGGAGTTGCAATGGCCGATTAGGACAGCAGTTGCTGAAGGGGCAGCTACTGAATTTAATGAAAAACAACATTAAAGGTTGAGTAGTAACTGCTGTAGGATGTCTTTCTGTACGCTGTGAGTATATGAGTTGCTTCCACTGGCTAATAAATAAAGCAGCTTTGGCCTATGGCAAGGCAGCTTAGAGACAGGCAGAACATCCCAGCAGAGACACAGAGAGAAGAAGAGAGGAGTCAAGGAAGGTGCCAGCCCACTGTCCAAGGAGCAACATGTAATGGGACACAGGTAAAGCCACCGAACATGTGACGAAACATAGATCAATAGAAATAATTAATTGAATTAAGTTATAAGAGCTAGCTAACAAAAAATTGAGCCATAGGCCATACAATTCATGATTAATATTAAGCCTCTGAGTGATTATTTTATAAGTGGCTGCGGGACTGCATGTGGGTGGGAGATATTTGTCCAGACCGGAGGGTTGAACAGGACCAGAGAAACTTCTGGCTACAGCTAACCTTCTCTCCTAGCATACGACTCCCCCCAAATAACATGTCCTCCTGCTCAGCCCCCACTTAAGAACCCTAGCTGCACATGGTTCTTCCTTACCACTTCCTGTCAGCTAGTTGCTGACTCAGCCTCTTGACCCAGGTGGATTTTATTTAATCAAACAAATGCAACACATCTTTGCATCATTCAACAAATATTCCACAGCACAAACGAATGTAACACATCTTAAATTAATATTCCACAACAGGGTATTTTAATTACATTTCATAATTCTGGGAAAAATATTAGTGCCTTATCAAATTTCACCCTTTATAGAGAGACTTAGGGGTTCAGGACCCTTTTGTAGAACAAGGGAACAATTGGAAGATTCAAGCTAACAAGATGAAAGTAGTTTATGGCAAATCATCCAATATCTGTAAATGTTCTTTGTTAAGTTTCTAATGATATTGTTAAGAATGTGTGCCTATGTTTATCACCTTTTAACTTGGTAAAACATGTTTGTTTTTAAAATATAAATAAAGGTGGCTCGAGCTATTTGGGGCCGGCCACTTGTGTGAAACCATCTGGTGGTGGGACAATTTTTTTCTTTGCGCCAATGTCCCTTCCCCATCTCAGGACCTAAACCTGACTATGGCGTGACC